TTACATATGGTAAATGGGTTTCGGATAAATCCGGCGATAAAAATTTGGCCATGTATACTTTTACCACGAAAACCACATACCGCCCCCGCCTTCGCTGAAGTCCGTCGTAACCCGCCGAATACGTAATCACAGAACGCCGGAACAACCGCCCCCGTCGCCGTCGTCGCCGTGGCGACGAGGCTTCGGGAGAATCTTCCGGATTCGAAGGCACCGGGGGGCGGGGGGGCGCAATCAGGTCCGGAAACGGCTGCTTTCCCGAGTCGGCAATCAAAGATCCCGAAACACAAAGGCGGGGTCGTGCGATAGCGATTATTACATCACCGCCGCCCGGCGGCGGCTTTCTCATGCAAATCGTGTTGTTGGCGGAAAGTTTCGGCGCGTCCGCCTTTCCCCACCCCCGCGTCGTTACGACGAATTAGCGGACACGTCCGTCACCCAAGAGATAACATCGGGTTCACCTGGGCCGCCTATTGTCTAGGATACATCTACGTCATGGATCAAGATACCCTTTCTGCCACCCACCAGACGTTATAATACTACCAAAAATATAGTGCATAGACGTTTTACGTATTTTGCAGAACCTTAACCGCGGTAAAACCCTTCCAAACACATATTTATTTTGCATTAAGTAGGTGTTAGGTAGTGCCTTTATAACTAAAAATATAATCATTTTTTGGACAACACACGCTTAACATACAGCAGGAACGAGATTTCACTATAAGAATCGAAAAATCAATAAATCTTTGTCACAACATCGAAGAAAAAATCAAACGAAAACACTGGGAGATGCTCCTTTAAGTCGCTCATTACCTCAACTGTGTAACACGGGTTGCCAGCGTGCCCGGCGTCTAACACATTTGAATTTATTTTATTTCTTCGGTCTTCCCGAACAAAAGGTCTTAACGAATATTTGTAGAAACTTTTATTTCTTACGTAAATGGACAGTTTAAATTTTATCGAATGAGTAAGAGATTAAAAGTAAAAAAAACTTAAGAGTACATTACATGGGTCAAAAAAAAACTCGGAACATACATTAAATAATGTTTTCAAATTCAACGGAAAACCGCTAAAAGTATATTGTTTTCCAAATAGCTTATACACAAATGAAACAAAATATACGCAACGTCTTTACGTCAAACAGACAACGGGGGTAACGAAAAATACATATACGATAAAGATCCAATGTGCCCATATAAAGTTATCCGGTTTTGTATCCCCGCGTCGGAGGTTTTTTTTTTCGCAGCGGCGGGAGAGTGGTTTTTTCACGAATTGCTTGATAATCGACTTAAAGTCTGCTTTAGAATTAAGAAGTTCTTAATTATGTGAAATGGATTTTAGTAGAGTCTTTAAGATGTCGCTGAGTACTCCCGCATATGTGAATGTGGCTTGGTTTTGAAGAGTCGACAGGACGAAGAGTTAGACACTCGATATTTGCCTATAAAACACCCGAGCAATAAAATACAAAATAATTTCAATTTTATTTGATCATAAAAGCAAATGAAAACTTTCAGGATCCCTCTTGCGCCGTTTCTTTGTACACCGAACTGGATAAATATATATATATATATATATATATATATATATATATATATATATATATATATATATATATATATATATATATATATATATATATATATATATATATATATGATGACACTATATTCCGGGATATCATCCGTTCGCTCGTTGAACTCCGACTGGAATCCTGCATCCGACTGGAATCCTGCAAATCTTGCATCCGACTGGAATCCTGCAGACGTTTCGCCAAAATCTCACTTGGCATCTTCAATGCTCGCGCTCCGAAAACACTTCGCACACTCGAGCGCGAGCATTGAAGATGCCAAGTGAGATTTTGGCGAAACGTCTGCAGGATTCCAGTCGGATGCAAGATTTGCAGGATTCCAGTCGGATGCAGGATTCCAGTCGGAGTTCAACGAGCGAACGGATGATATCCCGGAATATAGTGTCATCACATTTTTCCATCCGTGAATCAATACGTGAGAATATATATATATATATATATATATATATATATATATATATATATATATGTTCAAAAAACTGGCAGTTTTGGAAAATTTATGAAATTTGTCCAGCACGACATTATCAAATATTTTTATATGCCGAAATATATTTCTGCTTACGTGCGAACGAACTTCCTTATCCCGATCCTTATACAATTACCTGACGTAATGGATGATAGTAGTTGATGAATTATAGGACTGTATCACTCGGTGTATGTAACTCCAAAGTCCCAACTATATCAGTCGGTTCCCCAAACTCTTGTAGATTTATGTTATCGTTCATATCTTCTTCGTCAGTCAAGGTATCCACGTCGAGTTGAATATAGACCGCGTCAATATGTTTTGTAAATATTTTTCACGTCATTTAAGAATACGTAAATCCAAATAATACTTACGACTTTGATTGTTACTGTCCTCATCCATCACGATCTCCTCTATAGCAATTCCTTTTGAGTCAAATACCTCGGAAATTTTACGAACTGTAACGTTCACCGTCGAATGATATTTTTGCAAATATCCCGCGCCCCCTATATTTGACGAAACCTGAAAAATTATCCCATCTTTAACGGTTTTCCATTTCCCGCCAATAATTTACCCATAAAAACGGGAATTTTTGGGATATTTTAGATTTTTTGGCCATAAACGGCACACCCTGTATTTGATACAATCATTGTTCGAAGTTCAAGAATTTTTTGAGAATAGTAAATGGTTTTCGAGAAAATAAGTTTTTTTCTGAAACCATGCAGTGCGTATAATCAATGACGTAATAATCAATGACGTCATCGCGTCTTGACAGCCCCCGAAATAACGATTTCAATATGGATTTTTTTAAATAAATTTTCAATTATTGGGGACCCATTTTTCAGTTTTTTGAATTTGCGGCGCACCCTGTATATTTTTAAAAAATTGTCAAGAATAAAAGTTTCTGCGTCTTCTGGTTCAAGAATTTCTTTGGTCTCGTAAACAGTTTTTTTTTTAAATACTTCCCGACCCACCAGCCACCTCATTTTGAATAGGTTCCGTCACTGGGCAAAGCTGCATAGGGTAACAGTGGGATAGACGCCCTTGGAGGATAGACGCCGCACCTTAAAAACAGAGAACTTAAAGCCAAGTTCACGCTCTAGTACCAAGTTCCTCGGACGAACCTCGCCCCGCACAGCACAGTCTGCGCACGCGTTTCGACAGGACTGCACGTGTCGCCGCTTGAGTTAAAAAAACGTTGCCAAATTTTCCCGCGCTTGCATGGTTCTTGTGACAGTGACATTTTGACGTGTTCAGAAGCGTCTCGTAGCGCACATACAAAAATTAGAAAAAGCACGATACAACACGACAGGATGTAAGAAGACTCGCTTTTGAACTTGCCGAGAAACTGGATTTGGAAAATTCTTTTAACAAAGAGACACGTATGGCTGGTCAGCACTGGCTCAAATCATTTCTTAAATCGAGATGAAGTAACTGAAAATGGTTTGATCCGTAAACCTGAGCAACAAAAAGAAAAGGTCGAGGTTTAGCTCTGAAAGTGAACAAGAGTTCGATGAATCAGATTCTGAACAGACTAAATCTGTTAAAGAAAATACTCAATGCAGAGAATGTTTCGACGACAATGCAAGTACCAAGTCCACGGCGGACTGGATTCAGTGCCTGATGTGTAAACTGTGGTTACACGAAGATTGCACTCTATATGGCGATTACTGTAATAGATGTGGACACAAGAAGAAGCTTGCAGCTCTAAAAGCTAACCTGCCCAAAGTAAACAGTATCCCTATATTTGTTGATTATTTGAAAATTTTGATTACTGTTAGTTTTTTTTTTAAGAAGGAAGCTTTGTTTTTTTTTCCAAAGAAGTCCCAAGGGACGGATTTGTTTTAAGTTTTATTATTCATAAATTTAGTTCGGTAAAGAATAGACGTTGTTAAGTTGCTAAATTTACCCAAAGAATGATTGAAAGACTGAGCCATTTGTTCCTATAAAAGTGCCATTTCCTTTAGTTTTACGGAATATTTGGATAAGGGAACCTTATAATATATTATTGCAACTAAGACTAACTAATTTTCTACGATTTTTTTTTTGTAGGGCATCTATACTCATGTCGAAATTTTGCCAGGGGCAACTACCCCAAACAGTAGTAGGGTAAAGTGGGGCATCTATCCCACTGTTATCGGATCAGGACCATTTCTTACAAGCTTATGGGCCTCGTGGAGGGTTAAAAAAGAGGCTAATGTCAATTTTGTAGCTCCAACGGTTCGAGAGTTATTCAGGAAAAAACAAAAGACGAAACCTGAGAACGGAGAACGGACAGACAAATGAAATTGTTATTCCGACGGTAATCATTTCTGTACCTACCGTTACCGAGATATAAAATTTTTATACGAGCCCAGATCCTTTCGATAATTCGATTTCTGAAACACACTAGTTGGTAACTTAGAACTAGGTAATTTGGTTTAGAAAAAAAAATCCGCCGCGTATTATTTTACCCCCATGTACACTTTGAGGTAAAAAATATCTTTAGTCCATGATTGTTTTCAAAGTTTTTTTAAATGATGCGACACTCTTAGGGGACACACTCCAGGTTCCTAATTTCAGTTTGACCTTCACTTCTGTGGTATTATTATTGTTATTATTATTATTAACCGTAACCGCTACGTAATAAGCCCCTGCGCGCAATAATCGCCGCGCAATCGCTAGAAATACGAGTAAAACTTCGATGTGGAATCCCCACCGCCGCGCGCGGCTCCTCCCACCCGCCCACCGAACGCCCGTCGCGCATTGAACACGTCGACGAGGAGGCGTGACGTTCCGCCCAATCGTCGTCTCTTCGCCGCCGCTTTCAACCAATTGCGAGCGAGAACGCGGCCGGGCGGCTCCGCGCGACTGCACGCATTGCGAATCTCGTCAGTTGACGACGCGACGTCGTATAGTCGGTACGGACGAGATATTGAGCGATAACCGTGCACCCCGGTGGAGTTTCTGTGAAGGAGGTGGCGTGTCGCGTTCGCCCGATGGACGTTTGCGCCGCGACGGCGAAGGATTTGGACGGGTGTCGTATAGAAGAGAGGGAGATGAAGGTACGTTGTTGCTGGTTTTTTACTATTTTTGTTTTTGTTTTAATATTAAGTTGAACTGGGGTAGGTTTTACTTGATGAAAATCGATTTAACAAGATAAATAAGAACTAAAAGTTGAGATTTTGGAAAAAATTATATATATATATTCACATGACAATTGTGTCTTTATCAAATGTCATAAACATCAACATTTGATAAAGACACGGTGTGTCGAAACAATTGTCATGTTAAATATATAATTTCGTGAAAATCTGAACTTTTAGCTCTAATTTATTTTACAAAAAAAGTTGGTTAAATGATTAGTTGATCGGTTGTTATCCCTTCCCGACTTCGAAACTAACCAAAACGTAAAAACATAATAGTGAACCGAATCGGTTCATTATGTGCCAAAATCAAGGCTTACCGGATAAAATTGACCGTTAACAATTGGTATGTGGATGTGCGTCACTCTGAAATGTATAAAATAAAGATGTTTTGACTACAGGCCTAATCAAAATGACTTTAACTTATTTAAAACTGACAAAATTAGATTTCCAAAATCATTCTAGATCGATTGACAGCGGCATAACACTTAATTTTGATTTGAAATAAACAAAACAATCTAAATTGTTCGTATTTTGCAAACCTTTTCAAAACAGAAATGTACCTTTTTTGAACCTAAGGTGTTTAGCTAAAAATCAGTTATGTATATCACAGAGCTTCCTGGACTTGTTTAAAACCACCCAAGCAGCATATAAATTTTTGTTATTCAACTAATTATAATACTATATATATAATACTGTTGCTGTATGTACTTCTTTTAAGAGCAAATAGTCCAGTAACATTTTTAAAGATTTAAACATGGTTATAAATCAGTAATAACTGTTTCAAAATGATATTTAAATGCACCACGTATCAGGAGGCATTCCATTAGAAAACACCCTGTATACTCGTCCAATTATGTTTTCTCCGTGATTCTTACGAAACGAAAATGCCATTGCTAAGTTGTTGAAGTCCCATACAACACAGATTTTTTTTTAATGAAATGTTTTCAATGCTGCTGCGAAACCTCGTGGAAAGATAAAGTCTGTTCATAGATATAAGAAAGTGACTGATACGAATTAAGGAGAGACCCGGGCAAGCTGTAAGAACGAAATATGGCCGAACAGGTCCGTACTTTGCTTAGAATTTAAATATTTGGGGTTTTGTTAGGAAAGATACTAAACAATATTTATGTATTTATGTTTAAATCTAAAACAAAATTACAAATTATTTTTATTATCTACTTAAATTTAATTAATATTTTATTTAATTAATATATCAGTAATTATCAGTTTTAGCTAATATATCAGAGTCACTATCGCTATCATCGCCTGTTGCTTGCGTTGTTGTTTTTGTGTCACATGAGGAAGGGGTTTTAGTCAACTATCTATTGTGACAACTTCCATTGTCCATTACATTGGCGCTATTTGGAGGAACGCTTGGAACTAGTTTGTTTTTAAACCAACTTTCAAATAAATCAGCCGCGGTGCCTTCGTTGTAATCTAGAGAAGAATCTTTAATATTTTTCGCAGGCAGACAAAATCCATTTGGAATCCATCCATCCAAAATAGTTATTCTTTCACCTCTTTTTCATGGCGCGTTTGTTTTATACTTACCAGTTAAGTCAACCCAACCCTTTTCCGGGGTATCATAAGTGTCGAACCAGGTTTCATCCAAGTAAATAATTGGCCTTGGTTGTTTTCTGTAGATCCTAATTTTTTCTAGATATTCCAGTCGCCATTTCCGAATCCTAAAAGATTCCATTAAAACTTGCCTTTTGTCAATTTTTTAAATCTAAAACCCATGTGTTGAATACACTTCCATAAGGTAGTTCTACCACATTTAACACCGGTTTCATCTTTTTCAAGCCCCCTATTTAAGCAAAAGCAAGCAAAACACAACTCTTTAAAAAAGAATAAGACAAATAACATAATAATATACGCCCTATGTTTCGGCAATTTCGTTGTATAGTTTGAGCAAAAATACTAATTTTCCCCAACAGTGCCGAAAGTTCGGTCTATTTGATTTTGTTTTTTATTATTGTTAGCTGTTGCGCAATTTCTGGCTCATTTTTTTGTGATGTCCACCGCTGTGTTCCATTTTTTTAAATGTTCAAATGTATTTTTTAAGTGTCTCCATCTATATCCGTTTTTGATAAGGGTAATTCTGCGCAACATTCTCGAAGATATATTGTAAATGTTTCCACTGCTCCTTAGCGTCTGATATAGTAGCGTTTTATCTCTGCAAAACGTCAAGATGAAGTGATATTGGGTTTAATGTGCTCAAATATTCTTGCGCTGCATATTTAAGCCCGGTATTTGACACTTTTTGCCAAATGGTCGAATCAGTGATTACAAAGTAAATGCGATATATATGTGCAGAGTAGCCATAAGTTATGACTTTCATGATTACTTATATTACTCATTGTGTGATTTACTTAGGTCACAAACAACTTCAGCCAAATATCGTGAAGTATGAGGTTTTCCTTGTTCTGACCCCTCTTCATTGTTTCTACTTTGCGGTGATTCGCAAAGGCCTGACGAATCTGCCGTGAGAACTGTCAAGCGACATTCGAGTACCTAAAAAACAAATGAAAACATTGAAAACAAGTTATACATTTATAGTTTTATATACTTTTTTTTTGAAAATCGTGTACATTCTTTCCTGGGAAAAATTAGGTCTCCAGAAAAGTAATTAAGAGTTAATTTTGGATGATTAATTCGAACTCTTCATGCTAATGGGGCATCAATATTTTTTATTTGCATGTATATTCATATTTAAAAAATATCAAAAAGGTGTCATAAAATTTGGAAAATAACATTTTGTAATCTTCATGACGAAAAGGGGCCTGTCTATCAGTAACCTAAAGAACAGGACTGGAATCCGGCATCCGAGGATGTCGGATCGGGCCGTCCTTCCCATAAAAATCCTCTCCGTACGAAAACACGCTGGATGTTTACCCAACGTCACGTCTCAATCTCTTTTATTTACTCAAGCGTTTTTTTTCTTTTTCGTCATCGCTCGTCGATGTTGATGTTGCTCGGTACCCATACTCGTCCATATGGGTTCCCGCGCGAGAGGTTGCGCCATTGTATTAGAAAAAGTCAGCGCTTTATGTGTGTTTACGCATCGTAGACGAGTTGAATTTTGAGAGGGCACAATGCCGATCTGTCAAACGGATTGAAGAATGGGAATTCTCGGGACGACAGGAGGAATTCGTCCGCGTGTGAACCCGCCGGTACCCGCCGATCTTTGTTGGTAGTACCGTACGGTCCGTGGTGTGATAGAACGAGAAAATTGAGGCAACTCGTATATATAAAATTTAACCACATACAGGGTGTTTCAATATTATGTATCTGAACACTGCTTTCAATAGTTTTCTCGATGTTTTTTTGTGTTATTCTTGTTTACATTGTCCGAAAAAAAGGTTGCATGTTAACGCGTCATATGAAAATAAAAAAATGGATTAATAATAAAATTAAGGCGCCTAGTGCTAATGTAAAAGATCAAAAATCAAAGAAAAAAAGAAACAAAAAAATCGTTTCTGGAACTAAACGAGCTGTCGGCCCTTATAGGGCTGCTTGGATGGCGATTTCAGAGATGTCGAATGATCGTCGGTCCAGTATTGAGAACTTTAATTTAATGAATAAGCATAGTAATATACTTCGACCACAAATATAGTACTTTTACAATCGTCATTTACTATTACCACGTACTGCATCGTACAGTACAAATTTTAATATTTACCGAAGTTTGCCGTAACTTGGAATTTGGACGAGATTTGAAGAACACTTTATACAGGGTGCATTCACAATAAAATGGCGTCGATTTTGCGAAAGTTCCATAGTGGTCCGCAGGGGCGCCTTCTTTTTAAAATAAAAAGCTGATTCGCGCCCCTTGCGAGCCCGCCCAGCGATGATATTTCAAAAGCAATCTTCTTCGTGTAAATGATCTTTTTATCTTGGTGAGATGTCAACTAGGCAACAGTTGCTAAATTTATACTATGCGAAGGCGGAATCCCGATTAACGTGGACTCAAAAACGTACATTCTAAGGATTCAAGACACAGGGGTGAGCTGCATATTCCCTACTGTCGACGACTTCGAGGTCACGTGTTGTTTACGTGTCCGTATTTTTAACAAATGTCTATTGCAAAAAAAGATTAATTTTTTTCGGAGCAACCATTTTTTTTTGTAAATGACAGTTTTTCGAATTGTGTTAAATGTTTCACATGCTTTTAAGACTGAACGTGTAGTTTCATTATAAGATAATATTCGTATTTCACTGTATATACCGGGTCGTGTCGCGTACATAGCGTTTGACACGAAGTGAGCAACTTCGCGCATATTAAATATGTAATTCGAGCCGACGCGTTAGATTACCATAAAACGCGGTCCCCATATCTGTGTGCGTGCATGTGCGGGTCTCACTTCAGTCGAAAAAGAAACAATAAAAGGGGCTTGTCCCTAAAATTACAGGCCCGCACTCCTACGGGGTGTTTCAAAATTATAAAAGCGTGCTTATCAGACGAAAATAAGGCTCGTTTTCCATAGGCGAGATCGCATGGTACGCCGCTGACTTTTCGCCGTAAACAATAAATCAAATCAAACTTTTCCTGTATTATAACCTATTAATATATTAAAAATAAGTAATAAATAAAAATATGAACACTTAATGATTGCATTAATATTTTAAGTTTTTAACCCAGCCGAAGGCGGTTGTGATTTGACGCACACCGGGAAGCTGCTTTTTAAATTAAAAGCTGAGGAGGTGTACTTAAGTGCTCTAAACTTTTTCTGACGCCTTGAAGTCTTTTTTTAAAAATAAAAATGGGATAAAAAAGGGATATATTATAATCATAAAATTGTTATTGTTTTTTTAGATCAAGTGGTAAATATATAAATGTAGCAAAAGGAATAGGTAAAAATTTTTAGATTTTACATATTATATTGGGTTGTTCGGAAAGTCATTTCGTTTTTTTT